AATCCAATCTTATAATTCAAACGCGCCCTAACTTACCATTTGCAGCCATTATTGTAACATGATAAACAATACTGAAAAAATGCATGTACACAAGATTCACATGCGATGTCTCTTCACGTTAAAATCTTTGATAGGGGAGAGAAAGATAGGAAAAACTTAGATAGGTACCATCAACATACGAAGGCCAAGAACAAATAAACTGGTCGATTCAAGGCACTGTTAATTATTTCTCATCTAGAAGTTGGATATAAATTGGATTTGCTATTAGTCTTACAATGATTATACAACATTAAAAGAAATATGTATCAATTTTGACATTTTATTAAATAAAAAAACTAATATTTATTGATTTTTAAAATTAAATGGTTTTATTAAAAAGAGAGACTTATAATTCGAGATAGTTTAATAGAGACTTATAATTCGAGATAGTTTAATAGTTAAAAATTTAAAATTATAAATTAATGATCTCGTATTCAAACATTGAATCTAATAAAAAAAATTTAAAAAAAAAAGAGAAAATTATCCTTCTTATATAACCCCTCTTTATCAGATGTATCAAAAACAAAAAGATTATTTTTTATAATATAACCATTATTATATCTATCAAGAACAAATTACTATTATTCCAAATTAATTTCCAGAAGCACAATTGTGGTAGCTAGAAAACTCAACGCCAATTTTATTTGTATTTACTGCCAATAAATTTGGTAAAAATATAAAAAAATTCAATTTCAAATGTAAGTTCCAAAATACATAATAAATTATATGAGAATCCATTTCATTGAAAGAAAGAAAACCTATCAAAACAAATGCTATACAGCCTAGACCGCCTTTGCTCTAACAATTCAATTCAAAGAATACAACTGTGCAATAAAAGCAGTTAGTATTGACAATAGTGTAAGAGCAACTCCAACTGTCAAACTGGAAGCTGAAGAAAGAATATGGGCACCCACGGTATACACTGCTCCAGACATTTCATCCTTCACCTTGATACTCGACGAGCCTAGAATTAACCACAATAATATGTAAGAAAAGCCTGAGTTTTGCCAACGATAAGGGTCGTTAAAATGATTAATATCAAAATAAAAGATATGGATGAAGTATGAATCTATAGAAGGGAATGGTAATGTAGCAAAGATTTAAGGAACTGAATGCACAGTATGGTATGTTGCTAACAAAACAATTGCAAGATCTGCTTGAGCCAACTTCATACAATTGACTAAACCAAAAGGTCCAATTTTCTTCCCAAAATCCCAACTTCTGTTGGAATTGCAAAATGGCATGCAAAAGGGCACATAAATGAAGTTGGTGGTGTAACAACAGAGATACTCACAGTTGTATTCAGTCCATCCAATGGTCTGATTTTCAATATCATACACAACTAGCTTATTTGATAGCACCATATCTGCACCAGAATTGAAAGAGTTAGGGATAAAAATCGTTAAAGATTCTGAAAACTTTCCTGTCTAAATTTTTCCTCCTCACTCTGGCAAATCCAAAGCTGATAATGTTTGGTATAATGAAAAATTGGGCTGACAATGTAAACAAGATGCATTGGCAACAACATGATAATCATCTACACATCAAGTAAATCTAGAATATACCTCCCAAAAGCATTATATTGTTGCTGTCCTCACTTTGCAGTCCACCATTTACCCAACCAAAACACCACATGTTTTCCTGTAGAGAGCCACAGGAACGTTACCTCAAAGGAAAACCAGCGAAGGAAAATAGAGATAAAAATTAAAATGATGGCAATAAACCATTAAACCATTATGATAAGTCAGTCACAAAACTTCAACTGATAAACACATAATAGTAACATTAGTGGCAGCATGTTTTAGATGGAATTAATAAACTTCCAACTAAACGATATCTACTTTCCGACAAAACCAAATGATATCCAAAAAAGAACATAGTTATTAAAACAGAATCCTTAGATGATTGTAAAGGGAGGTCCAGGAAGTCTAATGTTGTAAAGGCTGCTCTGGCTGCAACTTTATTTTATACAATTTATGGAAGAAGAGGAATGGGAGAGTTTTCACCAATGAAGTGCCTAGTGTAGAGAGAGTTCTGCGTCTTTTGACTAATTGTATATTTTGCTTATTTGGTGATAAAATTGGGATTGGTAGGGACTAAAAGTTGATGTGGTAACAGGTGATTAAACATAAATTTTGTTGGATTATTAAACTTATATGAAATCTTGTCTTTGTGCAATTAAGAAAAAAGCTTCTTAAATTTTCAGTTCAACCAATGGAAAACAGTGCACTACCAGTTCTCAAATCCAAGTAGATCTAGGAAAGGTTCCAGAAATCCTAAAATTCATTGCTAACAAACATTAATAAATATTTACCCAAAAAAATAACTCCTCACCATATATCTGTTTGCTAAAAATATATGAGAAAAAATTTTAATAACCCTAAATTCCCTAACTCAAAAATACAGTTGGGGCCATTATATAAGTACAATCAGAAACCATACCTCTGAATGTTTATATAAGCTTTGTCAGCATAACTGTGTTAAACTAAATATAGAAAAGGCTAAAATCCAGTTTATCTGTATGCCATTATTCTGATTCCCAATGACAAACCAAAAACTTAACAACACACCTAACAAAGATCTATAATCTATCTGAGTCACCTAAATAATGACATCAATTGTAGGTAAAATACTTTAGGATGAGAATTTTTTTATAATCAACTGCAGAGAATAAATTAAAAAGCAAAGTTATTTAACGCTGTCGCTCTGCATATCCAAAATAGTATAGGGTCTATATCAAGAATGATTTTAGACATTTTGCAAATGTTTTTCTCGATCAAGACATGAAATAAGAGTTATACTTACTTTAATTGCAAAGAGATAATCATGAGGATAAACTGTCAAAGAAACGGAACCTTCAAAGTAAAACTTCACAAGTGGAAAACCATCATCAACACTGCCAGAATGAAGGAAAATTCCAATAAGCTCAGACTAGTATAACTCACAAAAATTTAGTGCATGCTTGATATGTTTCCAATCCAAATAAATTCACTATAGAAATCCTTTACAAATGAGAATTCATCATAAATGCCATGCAAAGAGAGAGAGAGAGAGAGAGAGAGAGAGAGAGAGAATTCATCATATACATCATAAAAAATAAAAACCATCAGAATTCATTCGATGTTTGGAATAATTAATGAAGGTATAAGATGCAGTTGAATTCTTCAAGAATCAAATTTTCATATTTGGAAATTAATTCTACACATTTTGGATTTTGTTTATAACAAACACACTCTTTCAAAAACAAAGCCTGTTTGGTGTCAAATACATGAATGCATTTGTTATTAAAAAATGCTCAAGTACATGAATGCACAATAGAAGTCTTTAGATTTCCCCATAAAATTTGTGTAACCAAATAACTAAAAATTCAGAGAAAAGCCAGAAATCAATGAGGCAAAAGCCATACATTACATGTTTATTGTTCCAGATTCAGAATTAAGAGCCAAAATACTTAAACTTTCAGCATTTTACAACCAGTCATGTTTTCAAAGAAGAGTAGGACAAGAAAAAAAAGAAAAAGAGAAAAAACCCTAATTAGGACAATTTTTCAGAAAGCCAAGCCTCCTATTAGGCTTCATCTCCCGCAGCAAACTAGGAAACATTTTCCAATTCATGTTGGTCACTCAATAGATCCAAGAATTTGCAGACACTTGAGGATGTGTGTTTTCTCTTTCTTTCTCTTAACTCTAAAACAACTGAGGATTGCAATTTTAAATGAGGCACATTTGACATCATGATCAAGAAAAATTCCTTCCTCAAAGAGCATCCTTTTACAAGTACACTAACCTATTGATAAAATCAGCTAAGATCAGTGAAAATTGCATCAACTAAAAATATATCATTTCATGATTTCTTTTTCTCTCTAATTCTCTTCCAAACTAGATCCTTTCCTCTCTACTAACCATAAAATGACAATACCATCAAACCCTAACTGGAATGAGCCATAGCAATCCCAGCACCTTTCTTCAACATATAACTCAAAACCCTACTGTTCTAGTTGGTCAGAAAATCCCATCAACCAGTTCACCATCCCAGCCTATCCTATTTGAACTAATATATTAATTCCATATACCTTCTCCACAATCAAAAATGGTAAAAATATGTTATTTTCCAAAACCAAAGCACACCAAACTCAGTTTCTTACTGTGGTACATCTGTTCTGTGGCATCCAAAAAACATGTCATTCATTCATTTATACAGATTAAAGAAAAATTATAGAGAGTGAAAATTTTTGGTTGAGGGAATAGCTATGCCAGAGTTTTAGGCTTTTAGCAAGGAAGTAAGATAAATAACACAGAGGGAGAAAATGACAAAGTAGGAAAGGCTATTGTATGCTTGTTATCTACTTTCCTTTAAAAAGTGGGAATAAGGTGGGAGTAACCATAACCTAAGGGCAGGTGGTAGTCTCACCTCATTCCACTTTAAAGGGAAATAGGCTCCCTTATGACCACCTTGTTGCTGTCTTTCCACTCTCCCCTTTATTTTACTTTATTTATGTGCAGTAATGATGGATATCCATTTTGTTAAACAAAGCATGACCTCAGAGCTGAGAAATAGCAAATATTCTGGCACTTTCCATGTTCAAGATAACTGAATGATAAGCCCAAAATGAAAAGTTAGGAGCAATAGTAATAAGTGCCTTACTTTCCATTAAACTGAAAACAAGAAAACTCCTCAACCATTTGTAGTTTCAGTTTAGGCCCCTTGTTGAGAATCTAAAAATTTATAGAAAAAAATATGTTAGCAAACAAAATTCAAAGCTGATATTAAAGGAAGAGAAGAACAGCACTCACCTTTGCCATTAATGGATCATATATCACCTTTGGAATTAATGCGAGAGTTGTACCACTGTCAATTATTGTTCCTTTTTTATCTCCAGTACCAAAAACATAAGTTGGAAGGTCTAGAACATCACCACCAACCTCAATTTTCTTTGTAACAACATTGTAATGTTGCCTAAGATTGATTTAAAAGTACAATTATGATAGAGTACATTGGAAAAATGCTTAAATTACAGGTAAAAGCAAATCCAAAACCAAAATTAAGCAGAAAGGTTATCCTCATCATTCAAAAATCAAAATATTATAAAGTAATTAACTCCATACTCTGCAAGGAATCCATCTCTTTATGATTTGTTCAAGGACAAAATAATGCAACTACAAACACAAACATAATATACGGTATACATGAAAATAGACATCTTTGCAGAGACTTGAAAAATTCCCTTTGATAGAAAACATAACTGTTATGAAGAATTATTGTCATGCTTTGCCATTGGCCCACTGAAAGATTACTTCATGAAAGACAATGATTCCTCTCTATTTTTTATTTTTACTTTTATTTACTTTGATTTTGGGTTGCGCAAAATCAGATTGAAACAATCAGCATTATCCAATGCAAAGACATGAGAAACCTCTAAACTACAAGCATCCAATGCAAATAAAGAACTATCTTCTTAAATTCTCATCCTTTTTTCAATTGACTTTAGAGTTGACATGCACTGATTATTGTGTTCTCTTTTGCATTTTATTAAATTGAAACAATCACCCTAAGAAAGCTACTTGTGAGAAACTTAAAATTTCAGTCCCTTACATGCAAAAATTAAACTTAAGAACAAATATCCCACACCTTTACCTTCTTAAAACTCACATACAATAAATAACATCAGCTCAAACTGGAAATCAATGCACACAGCATGAACATAAACAGCATTAAAAAAAAGAGGTCAAACTGTCAAAGTGAAGCTGGTCAGAGGGAATTGAAAACAAAATCAGAGATTCCTGGCATTAAATTCAATGCCAATACAACCAAGCTGTAACTGATTAGTTATAACACCCACAGATGTAGCAAATTATAGGAAATTTAAGGCAGGAAACTTACTGCTTAGGAACCATGGGAGTGGTATTCACTTTTGGTGATACAATTTCCCCAATTGTAAAGATTCCACCTCCATTTATATTATCCAAGCAGTGTGCAAAAATTCTTTTGACCTTCCCTGCTGCAGCTAGCTGCGAAATGATGGATGTATTTGATTCTCCAAATCCAATTATCCCATCAACTGCTTCAGTTGAGGAACCTAAATCCCCAGATTGCTTAGTTCCACATCTAACCAGCATAAAGAAATATTAAATTACATGGACAATAAAAGAATAAGTTACTAGATACCTTACAACAAGTATCATGTTTGTGCCAGTTTGGTTTGGTCTAGAATCATTTTATTATCCCTTTGCAGTCAAGAAACTAAGGAAATTGAATCAAATTGGTCATTCCATCTATCAATGATTACTTTGATGGATGAGAAACCTTTGAAGAATATGCTTTCCTGAATCTGAGATATAAATATCCTAAGCGAACAGAATGTTGTTCTACCATCCAGGGTTTTTAAACACTTTAAATCCTGTTATTTTCTACCTAAAATGAGGTTTTAGATTAATTAACTTCTTAAGATGTTAGTTATTAGAAGGTTAATCATTTCAAATTTTAAAAACATTATTGTTCAAATGATTTTTTAAATATGGCAACCTAAGGGGTGTCCACATTGCACCACCCCACCACATAGGTACTTAAGTGGAATTCCAACCATCAGAATGACAATTGATGGAAAAAAATGTTCAAATGGGTACAAATTCCTTAGTTTCTTGACTGTGAGGAAAAAAGAAGATTCTAGATCAGACTAGATTAAACACCATAGTTCATTGACCAACCATGAAATTTGAAAGATCATACAAGTGAAGATTTGAGAAGATGCCTTAAATTCAAACCTTGAAAGAACATACATAAAAGTATGTTTGACAGTTTACCAACAATGAAGGTTGAAAAGCAAGAAACAAATAAAGGGTAACTCAAGCAGAAATGTTAGGATAACCATCCCAGATCAACTTGACCAAAATCAGAGCAAATACGAAAGGAAGTGACCTATTGGAAAAATAAATAAATGCGTCAAAGGAAGCTATCTACAACAGGAGAATAACATCTTGATTTCTATATTCTAGAATGCAACCAGCATTAGATTAGGAGATCAACATCATCATAGCTGATGCATGTAACGTATCAATCAGTAAATCTACAAAACTCTTGGACGGTCATTTCTGAAAATCCATAATCACATTCTGCTTAATTTTAACATCAAAACAATGCAATAGAAATTTGACTAACCCGAATATAACACTCCCACTTGTAACTGTAGCTTGAAGATTTCCAGTCACTCGATTGAATTGGATGGTATCTTTCACAAAGTAACCAGAAGTTGAGCTTCCATCACCATAAGCAACATTATATTGGCACTGCAAATTGGGCTTGCAACCAGGAAGCAGACCATCATATGTGGAAGTGCAAAAATCTTGATCACAATGAACATAGCTTGAAGTCGATGAACTCCTTGGATCATACAATGTCAACTCAACCTGGCACACATATATTCAAAAACAACCGAGTATTTTTTAAGTAAAGGTTGGATAATAATTTCAAAGACCAAAATAATTAAACAACATAAGGAAATACTTGCAACCTTTTACAACACTCAAGAAAATTAAAGACAGATAAACATCAAGAAACAGAGTGAAAGAAGCATACGCCAATATCACTCTTCTTCGGGCAATTGTCACATTCAATACTATTTACCCATAGAATGTCACTTCCTGTATCAACTTGTACGTAATAATCCTTTGGTGGAGTCCCTAACCAAATTTTTGCAAAGTATAGCCTGAACCAAACCAATTTCCCAAAGAACTATTTATTAGCATCCAAATTAAAATATAAAAAAGTGATTGCGATGAACACATTACAAAATTAAAGCAAGAAAAAGGAAAACTTTCTTCCTTTCATATCAAACAAACAGATAGATAAAGTCAGCTGGGCCTCAATTAATTATTTAGCTTTAACTCAAAAACAACATGACCCTCCACCTTCACATCAACCAAACAAGAAAAAGAAAAAAAAAAAATTGAGCAAGAGAACAAAAATCAGATAAACCTATCAAACATAGAAAACGAAAAAACTGACCCAGCATCGGAGGGATTTCCATTACCACCCATATCCAAATCGACGGCGGAAAGAAGTCTACCTCGTCGGCTCACATCATGGGCCATCATGGAACTCAGATTCCTGTCCCTCCCCGCAAACTTATGCCGCACCTCAAAACTCACCACATTCGCCGAAACACAGCCCAGTTCCACCACAGCCAGCACCGCCAGCACTGACAGCGCCCATTTCTTCACATCCATCATCACCCACATCTCTCAAACCAAAACAAGACTTTCACACAACTTAAAAACTCTATTCTTTTCACAAATTTCGAACAAAATTACTTCTTTTTTGGTTTTTACGGGTTAGCCAATGTGGGTCTTGGGTGTCCGTGAAAGAAAGAGCAAAACCCCCAGAATTGAAAAGGCGAAACAAGAAGAATGACCATAGAAGGAGGCAAACGCGCGTTTCCAATGGCAACGGGTCTATTTGCGAGAAAGGGGGGACGGGGGTGGAGGGTTGTTCGCACTATATTTAGTGAATGGGGAGCCGTCGTTGGTTGCCTTTTTCCCTAAGATTCTAAAATGGAGTTGGAGCTGCTTTCTTTTCACTTTCCAGGTCACGTCGACCATTTCGTAGGATTTTGGGTCCGCCTGTTTTGGATTTTAGTTTAGAGCAGCAGGCGGCGAAGGCTATATATAATCATTACAAAATGGAATACAAAACAAAAAAAATCTGAAATGCGATGGCGAGGATGGCACACGGTAGATTTCCTTCCTTTTTTTTTTCTTATTTTTTATGGAGCGCATGGTAGATTTCTAACCTTATAATGGTGATAGTAAATTAAGCAAGTGACTTCAGTTTCGGTCAAAAATGGAAATTAAACGAGTGACGTATAATAATATTAAGCATGCCTCAACTTTAACTTGATTTATAATTTATACGTTTAATAAATTAT